AAACACAAAATGTCCATCTGAAAGCTTGGGTAAAAGTGTTTGTGGTCCACAGGGGTGAAGTCTGAAGACTTTCTAGCAGGAGGAATTCAGTGCTAGTTTTGTGTAAAATGTTTTTGGATTTGTCATTCCTTTTATCAGTCTTCATGAAATGCAGAGAAAGTTATTGTAATTTCTAGATAATGCAGTATGTCAGAGAGCCTGTGTAGATTTTTTGGGTGTAGTTTCTTTTCACTGCCCTAGAGAACCTCCTACCTGCCAGAAGAGCATTGCCCTGCACCTCCTCTGCTGTTGACTTTGTGTGGAGAGCTTGTCACCCAGTTCTGCCAAGTCTATTTTATATCTGTATAGTGTAACTGTTAAAATGTTAGACATGGGAAAACTGCTAATTGCTTGGCAGTGTTAATCCACAATATTGCTGTGGGTGTTGTACGCTGTTTAACATTTCCTTCCTTTCTAGCATTGGACTAGCTGTTGATGAAATTTGTTTGTGGTGGCTTTTGTAGTTTGTTTTGGTTGGTTGATTTTGTTTTGGTTTGGGTTTTTTAGGTCCCTGTTAGAAACACTGTACTGCTCAGGCCTGGCAGTCTTTCTTTTTAAAGTGTGAAGAGCTATGGCAAGTGTTGTGAGGCCTAGAGGATCTTATGAAAATGGAGGCCTGAGGGGTGGTGTGTTGTCTTGCTGGGGTTTGGTTTGGTAAGGAAGGGAAGAAACAAGGAAGTATTTTTATTTTCAGGTGCTCAGAGCTACATTTGATTTAATAGGCTTAAAATAGTTTTTCTTCATTCCAGGTGAGTGACTTCCTGTTGCAATAGGAGTTTCACAGGCCTTCATTACAGTTTGTTGAGCTCAGCAGCCCAAGTTTAGGCTCTGCAGACTTGTGGCAGATAGCCTGGTTGTTTTAGTTTCTCACTATGAAGAGAAGAAGCCAATTTCAGTTGAATTTTAGTTTCTTGGAATTTCGAGCTGTAGAGAAGTTATTCCAAAAGTTTTAAGGCATGCAGTTGCTATATATGAATTATTATTCAAGTAAAATACAGCTATGTCTTGCACTAAAGCTAGGTGAGTTTCAGGTAGATAAATGAAATGCTTAGGCTTGAGACTTAGGAAGCTGCAAGGTTTTGACAAATCAACATTTTTCTTATCTTTTTCTAGTGATTGGAAGGTTGTAACTGGTGGAAGGTGTTTTGTTAGCACATACAACCAAACCCTTTCTCCTTGCCACGTGGTAAGGCAGATATTTGTCAGATTGCAACACGGGCTGGCTTGGGAAGCTGGTCTGGCACTGAAGAGCACAGATGTGTTCATGTCAGAATTAGGTCAGATTGTGTTGTGCTGGTAGTGTGATTTACTGCTCCAGCCATGAGAAAATAGAGGATAGTTAAAAGAGGTGGGTGGGAAAAGAGCTCAACAGAAGTAATTCCTAAAATCCACTGAATTCAAATTTCAGATTAAGTGGCAGCAGCAGACCTCAAAGTTCAGTTCTCAGATTGCAACACAGGCTGGCTTGGGGAGCTGGTCTGGCACTGAAGAGCACAGATGTGTTCATGTCAGAATTAGGTCAGATTGTGTTGTGCTGGTAGTGTGATTTACTGCTCCAGTCATGAGAAAATAGAGGATAGTTAAAGAGGTGGGTGAGAAAAGAACTCAACAGAAATAATTCCTAAAATCCACTGAATTCAAACTTCAGATTAAGTGGCAGCAGCAGACCTCAAAGTTCAGTTCCAGATAGAAATGCTGGGGAGGGTAATGCAGGATACATGATTTGCAGAAAGCAGCTGATATCCATGACTGCTGCCTGGTTTTAGTATGAAACTAGAGTTTTAAACAACTATAGAGAGACAGTTTTTCTCTTAAAACCTCATGCTTCTGGTTTGTGAAAACAATAAGATGCAATTAAAACACTTAGGCAGGTCTTCAGAAAGGTATGTGGTAGAGGAATGGCCTTTTTTTGTGTCCTTTGCCCTGGGTAACATGTAAATCGCCTTTTTTAAAACTGCTTCAGTGAAATGCAGATTTCTTGCAGCTTTCAACAGGCCACTGGTGCACGGGGTCTGGGCTGAGTGCTGCTAACAAGGAAAAAGGAAAACCTGGGCCAGATTCCAAGTTTGAAAGCCGTTTTTAACTTCTGTTTCTAACATCTTTGAATAACGTATATATTCCAGTTTGTAGCAAAACTTAAATATTGGGTCACTTTTTCCTGGAATGGTGTGCTCCTTTTTGTAAGTCTTCATTTTTGTTCATTTCTGGAAATGTGGTGTGCTTCTGTTAGGTGGTTTCTGTTGGAGATGTGTTTCTTATGTTGCTAAGTGATCTTGTTTACTGGCACATACCAGTAGCGTTATTGGTATTTTGATATAAAAGCTGATTATTTAATAACTTGGAATAATATCTAATTAATTGGCTGGCTAGAGGGCTGAGGTAGAAGGGAGTTGGGTTAAGCAGTGTGCTGCAGGTGATGATCTAACAATACTGCAGTTCTTTTTCACCAGAAATATGAAGAGTTTTAGTGGCAAAGTGAATTGAGCCACTAGTCTGCACTGATAGCCTTGCAAAGGCATTGGAGTTTGAGGATGAGGAGGGTAAATTTAAGCTGGAGCTGAAAGCTCACCTAGGCTGTATCACTAAAAGGGAGAAAGCAGATATTTAATTTGATGGTGTCTCTTGTCCTCTCGTTTCCTCTTCTCTCATCCATAACCTTTTGCTAAAGCACTTTTAAGTCAGATAATGACATTATTTGTGTAGTTCCCTTCATGGTACATGGCCAAGTAAAACACTTTCTTACAAAAGTTTACTGCTGACAACTAATGATGAGGCTCAGCTGTGTCAACAAATGATTTTAATTTTGGAATATGAATAAAATCAGTTTAGTAATCTACGTGCTATTTCAAGGAGAGCTTGCTTATGCCAAGAAAAAAACCCAAAACGGTTCATTCAACAGGAAAACAGGTCAAATAGGTTATGGGTTGCAAGACAGTTAAAACTTTCATATGTAAATATTTTTTAAAAGCTGTGATTTCTGAACACAGCATCTTCTACTACTTCTAGCTCATTTTTTTTATGTTATTAGTAAGTCTTCTTGCTCATCTTCTGGTTTGATTTCAAGGTGTTTGAGCTCTGAACCCGAGGTGTGTATTCTGTATTTATCTGGTTGAGATAATCTGTCAACCTCTGTAGCATAAACCAGTAGGTTAGAAACCTTGAATATATTTTTTATGTCAACAGCTTCCTTCATTCTGTATGTTGCAATTTCACCTTAAAGACAATTAATGGGTGTATGTTTAAGGTAACTGTTTGGTCGTTCAGTGCATATTAAATTAGAGGAAAATGCTCCATTGCACTTATGGGTTAAAACACTTAATTGACTAATTTTTAACAGAAAAAGAAAGGGAGTGATGACTCAAACCCATTGAAAGGGAATATAAGCAGAGATGGGAAGAATTATGAAGGAGGGGGAGATTAGGAATGAATGGGAAATAAAACAATTAGGAAAAAATGAACCAGAAAATGCAGTAAAAAGGCAGTGGAAGCAAATATTCAGAGGAGATCTGTGTCTAGCTCTGGGCTTTATTTGACAGCTGTTGGCACAGTATCTGAACACACCTCATATGTAATTAGTAGTGACTGAGGAGGAAGTAGAAGTGAAGAGTTAGAGGTGCCTTTGAGGGTACAGGGAGGGGTAAAGTTGAGAATGAGAAGGGGATTTACATGTTTTGTACCTCCTGTACTTGCTGTGGAAAGATGCTCTGAGAAGAGCTTTGCAGCACTTCAGATCCTGGATTTCCATTTTGATTCTGGGTGTTTTGGTTGTGTATTTGATTTTTGTTTTGTTTTCACCTAGGAGAGGCTCTATTATAGGTAGCACTGACAGGACTCAGCGTGTCAGTCTTTCCTGGCAACTCTTTCTTTGACCTTGCCCCAGAATACTGTGTGTTAAGAGTTATTCACAGATTGCTGCTTGGTCTTAACACTGCAGGGAAATAATCTGTTGTTTGGGAACATCTGTGGTAGTATAAAGGCAGCAAGCAAAAATGAGGAAATACAGAAAAAGGAAGAGAGGGGAATGAAAAAAACAGTTTAAAATTTTTGGAAAATTTTATGAATTATGAAACAGATTAAGAAATCGTTTAAGATCTGTAATTAATACCTCTGGCAAATATTTTGAAGCTAATCTGAAAATTGTTTATAAAAGAACAGGGGACTGCCTGTATGTGTATTAATGGCCATGACTGTACAATCCTTTTGGAAGAATGTTTATCTATGGTCTGGCAGCTTGCTTTTGAAAATTAAGCAGCTTAACTTCTAAAGTGAGACTGTCTCAGATGGTGTGTTTTGACACAATTTTCCTGTGGTGATTAGTGTGGATCTGTCTGTCCTCCCCTACTGGCATGGGACCCAGCCCTGAGGAACTGCTGCTCACAGAGTGCTCTACCAGTAATAACTAGGAAGCCTAATTTTAAATTCCTGAAGCCTAATTTTAAATTCCTATCTGTTTTGTAAATATCTGGTATCCAAGTCACAGGCTCTGCACTCTTGAAACTCTTCACCTGGCTCTGATCTGCTGCTGGCTGCCAGATTGTTCAGTGGATGAATAAAAAGCAAATTGTTTTGTGATTAGGGTGGTTGTTGGAGTTCTTATTTGATTTTATAGGCCATAAAGAGTGTTGTGTACTAAGGTCTGTGCCATCAAGGCAGGAATGGACTAGTGATTTTGCAAAGCTGGTATGTAAAAGTAAAATGCTTTGGGCATTGGTAGCAGGAAGTGGAAACACATGAACTAATGAATAGAGCAAGAACATCACATCAGTGCAACATGGCTGAGAGCTTCAAAGGAAAGTTTTGGGTTTTTTTTTAAGTTTCATTGTAAAAATTTGCATATTCCCTTCTTTCTCCCAGGTGAAATGCACTAAAGAAAAGCTTTCCCTCCAACTTAGTGCTGCAGAGTTGATGGTGGATGACCTTGAGTACAAGATTGCCTCATGTTCTGTTCTTTTTTTTTGCAGAAGGATCCAGATTACCTGAAGCTCTGGTTGGATAGTTTTGTTTCTAGCTATGAACAGTTTCTGGATGTGGACTTTGAGAAGCTGCCAACGAGGTATGTAGAATTACAGACCTGTTCATCTTTGTTGGATACCTGAAACAGACCTGGCTGAGAGCCAAGCCTTGCTCAACAGCAATGCTGTCTTTAAACAAAAGAGAGTTTTTGATTGTTGAGTGGCACTCCCATTCTTCTGAAGGTCAAGTTGGGTTGGCAATGATTAAACTAGGCAACTACTGGTATTTGCATTGTATGCAGAGATGGCAGGAGTATTCACTTGTTGTTTGTAGAAGTAGAATCTTTATTCCTTATGCTTTTTTTGAATAAATATTTGTTAAATATTGCATATTACATAGTATTAGTTGATATTAGTGCTTGGTACCAGCAGTGACTGAAGAGAAGTTGTAGATAGTTTTAAAATTACAATATTTTAAAACTACAATATTTACAAATGGTACTGGTATTTGCATTGTATGCAGAGATGGCAGGAGTATTCACTTTGTGTTTGTAGAAGTAGAATCTTTATTCCTTATGCTTTTTTTGAATAAATATTTGTTAAATATTGCATATTACATAGTATTAGTTGATATTAGTGCTTGGTACCAGCAGTGACTGAAGAGAAGTTGTAGATAGTTTTGTAGTTTTCAGGGATTGCTTGAAGATTAAGGATGAGCTGAAATGCTTAATGAAAGATTAGGGTATCTTAGGTGAAAATATTTTAAAACTTACAATATTCACAAATGGTGAATTTTAAAGTGATTTCTTTGTTTACATCCTTGAAGACCAGTTCAGGGCAAGAGTATTGCTGACTTCACTCGTGTTGCTGACCACAAGTTCTCAGATAAAATCATGAGATAGTATTGAAGGCTAATTTCAGAGTTCCATAGTTAGTGTTTTGAACTTGTCTGCTCTGTTCTAAGGATTGGATTTCAAAGATTTTGCAAATGAGGAATAGAAACTTGGGCACTGGGTTGAAGGCTAATTTCAGAGTTCCATAGTATTTTGAATTTGTCTGCTGTGTTCTAAGGATTGGATTTCAAAGACTAACTTTGCAAATGAGGAATAGAAACTTAGGCACTGGATGTTTTCTCTTGTTTTTGAGATGCTTGCATGAACTAAGTGGTTTAGGAAAAAAACCCCCAAATGTTACAGGGTTCAGAAATGGTGAGAATTAGTATTATAGCTGCTACCACTGCTGGTGTTTGCAAAGAGTGGCTCTCCCTGCATGGTGGCTGCAGTCCAAGCCCTCTTTCAATGGAAATTCTTTAATGGGCTTTGGATCAGATCCTGTTTGAAGTGTAAGTGATAGCCTCTACTGTTACAAGGGAAGGGAGAATGCTGCAACTGGATCTCAGTGGATAAAAGCTGCACTTCTTGGCTCTTAGCATTGAAAGCTTCCTCCTAATGCCTACATGAATGCAAAATATATAGTACAATTAGCAGTCAGCAAGACCTTCAAATGAATTCTGTGGGTTTTTTCAGCAGATCACTATCAAAGATGTCTTACTGTGTTTAGCTAAGGAGAAAAATTTGTCCTTTGACACAGGTTATCTTTAGCATACTATATAATATTGAAATCTGAATAACAAAGAGAATATTATCTTGATATTTTGGGGGTTTTAAGTGCTTCTTGGTTTGTGTGTTGATTTTATTTTTACAGCAGCATAAGATAAAAACCAAATGTGAAGCTTAGCTGTGCAGAGCAATGGCAGCATCTTCACTGTGCTAAATGATGGTTCAGTGAGCACAAAAATAGTGTCTTTTCCTGAAGTTAATGACAGGATTAGTGATTTAGTCTGGAAGAATAGGCCCATGTGGATTTAGACTCGTTTGTGTAACAGATGTAGAGAAAAGATATCAAAACAACATAGGGATGAAGGCAGATCAGACCTGTGCTTTGATAGCTGGATTAAAAATTACACTGTTTGAGAGCAGAGACTAAAATTGCAGTTTCTGCCCTGGGTTTGTGGGATAATCCAGTGTGTGGAAAGTGGCATTTTTCAGGGGTTTCTCAGTTTCTATTGCAGGCATCTACACTGTGAAACTGGTGGTACTGAGCCTGCAGAAAAGAACAAGTAGGTCAGTGTGGAACCACCAGATGCTGATTCCCAGTGATTCTTGTCTTGTGGCCATAGGATGCTGTGGACTCACCTTTTTATTTTTTCCTGGAGTTCCTTATTTAATAACTAATTCTGTCTTTTGGTCTTGGAAGTGATACATGATGAGCTCAAACGAGAAACTGAGTGGACTTGTACTTTTTTTTTCCCCTTCTATACATCCTGGTATGCTTTACAACCTGAAAGACCTTCTGTACTGAAAGGCAAATGCTAGGAAATGATGGGAAACTGCAGAAAGAAGAAAGCCTGTGCAGATTGCTGGACAAAACTAACCTTTTGGAAGACAGGAGTGAAGTTTTCTGTCAGTGTAAAATGTGGTCTTTATAGCATCCAAGAAATCACCACATAAGAAATATCATGAAACTATTAGTGTGTGATTTTTATTTTTTTTTCCCCCTGGAAGAACTCTTAATGGGCACTTTCACTTCCTGATTTAACTGATTATTTCTTCTATCAGGTAAAATAACTTCCTGAAATCTGCTGTGGAAATCTGAAGGATGTTACATAGTGCAAAATTGTGAAATCTCTAAATGGAGAGGCTGAGTGATACAGTTAGAAACCTTATAGGCTTATACAGCTTCAGTTCTACCTCCATCTTTGTGCATCTATCCTATATTTTTAAGTGAAATGATTAATTAATGGTGTTTTCAATGATTTTACTGAAAAGGTAAAAACAGCAATGCTTAGGGCTTTGAGCATTTAGTGCAAGAGATTGGTGCACCTGCCTCTTCTTCTCCTAAGAACATTTATTCCTCTCATATTTTCTGTGAAAAGGATTAAACCTCTACCAGCTGGTGGGAGTTTTTTTTCCCCCCTCATTGAAGGAGATGAATTGTTATTTAGTTTAATACTTTTAGCAGCAGCAAAGGCCTCCAGAGTGCTGTCATGCTCTTTTTCTGCTTTGGGTTTGCTTGAACTCAAGCAAAGGAGCTTAAAGGATGCTCATGCAAAGGGCCATGGAAACAGTACTTTGTTAACTTTCTACTTCAAACCCACATAAAAATGATGCAGGAATCATGATAGGAATGCTGATTAAATGGTTTCATGGTGGTTGAAAAGCAGAGCCTGCTTTTCTACAGCACTTTGTTGCTTACCACTGGCAGAGAAGTTGAAAGTCCCAGTGTGTGAGTTTGATCTGTAGTAAGTGAATACAATTCAGAAACTAATTTATCCTCTGTTCAGCTGGCAGTTTATATGGCTGCATATTCCTGTTAGTGTAATGCAAGGAGATCATAAATAAATAAAAAGCACTCAAATGTGTCAAAGTCTTGCTGGTATTTTTCAGGTAGGGTTCTAGCAGTCAGGTGAGAACATCCCTTAGGATATAGATTTTGAGATTAATTTTTTTCTTCTTCCTTTTGGAATATTTAGTTTACACAGCTAATCTTGCCAGGAAGAATTGGTGCTACTTGTCCACATATTTATGTTTTGTGGTTATGTAGCAGTAATTTGCTCTGGGGTTAAAAAGTTTGATTATTTATAAATATTTATATTTATACTCTGTAGTATATTCAGTTTGAGTAATCCCAGTTAGTATTTCTCATGCCACTCTTGCATAAGGCAGTAAATTCTCATGGGATGTGCAAAAGCACAGCCAGGCAGCTCCTGCAGAGAGAACATTCCTTGGGATGTGAGGCATGAAGGGTATGCTGTGTGCTCTCTTAGAAAGCATTTTATGATCTTACTGAAAAAGACTCGTTGGCCATTTTAGGGAAATGACTTCTGGGGCTCTGATTTCAGCTGTCAAAAACTGTGGTCTTGCCAATACTGAGGTGGTGAATTCTCAGTGCTTATAGTCCCAGAGGGCATGGATCTGCTGGCATCCTGAGGGGTGAAGCTGCTGTCACAGGAATTAAAAGCTCTTTCCTGGCAATTGTGTTGGAAAAAAACCGATTGCTTTTAGTTTTGTGGTTAGTGTCTCTCTCTGTTTACAGCCTAGGCCCTGTAAAATTTGTGTAAAACTTTCTGAATCCCTTGAGCTTCTGAATCTCAGGATCCTGAAAAGCAAGTTGTATAACTGTGAAGAGCCAAGGGAATGAAAAGTGTTTGGTCTTCTGTATGTGTGTAGGTACCACTTGTTCTCTAGGACATGGGAGCTTGATGTCTCTTTGTTTCATTAAATTTGGTCTCAGTTTTTTCCTTGTTACAGGCTTCCTTTTCAACTTTAGAAGCTAAACCATGTATTGCTCCTTATTTCCCTCAAATAATTGGTATCACAGTGTTTAGTGTCAGTCATTGCATTTCTCCACACTTTTTGATGCTTATTTCTTACAAAGATGTATCTCTGCAAGTGTCCTATTAGTGCATTCTTGAACGAGGTGAATTTGTTGTAATTTCCCCCCTGACCTTGGCCATGTTGAAGGCTTTTGAACACTCTGAGGTTCTTGCTTGTGTCTCTCTTTTCCTCTGTAGAGTTCATAGAGAATATCTTGGCTAGCATCAAGAGTGGATAAACAGTCTTCACACCAGAGAATGGCCTTGGTAGAGTTGTTAAATTCATCACCAACACAAAAGGGCTTCTATTGGTCTCCTAAAAATACTCAGATAGAAGAAAAAAAAATAGTTTCTGGGTTATGAGATCCAGAAACTAATAAGGATGGGTCAGCTTGCCATGCAAAACCAGTGGGCCAAGAGTCAGGTGGATTTGTGAGAGCTCCTTCTCCTGTAGTCAGCCCCTGATTGACAAGTCCTCCCTTGTTTAATCTCACTGCAAACAGCTTTCTTATTGTATTTAATCTTCTTTTATATGTTTTTTTTTGTAATTTATGTATTGTATTTTTGTAATTTATGTATTGTATGTTATGGTTTACTGTGGCTGAATACTAGCTGGGCTTCAGTAACTATTTAATAATTGCCTTCTCATTTATTTGAACACTTAATCCTCATTACAAAGCTGAAAATGTTCCCCTTGTGTTTCGTTTTGATGTTTCATTCTGTTGTGGCCATCCCTTTCCTTTTTTAGGGATTTCCCAGACCCCTCATTTGCCTGCTGAAGACAATGCAATTTCTCTGTGGCAATTAAGGGATATCATCACACAGAGGAGCATTTAAGAATCCACTTAATGAATTTTTAACACATTTTTCTTCAATGTAGTTCATTGCTGGGGTAGAGGAAGTTGAGGCTGGGATATTGCCACCATTTCCTTGTGGCTTATTAGAAAGTGTGCTGAACTTGGAGCTCACAAAACCTTTCTTAGAGGCCTATGAAGCACAACACGGGCACATTGAAGTTGGTTGGTAATGTGTCATCTGCACAATGAACAATTTTATGTGTGGTTTTTCTCTTCAGGGTGGATGACATTCCTCCAGGAATATCCCTGCTTCCTGATAACATTCTTCAGGTCCTCAGGCTCCAGCTGCTACAGTGTGTCCAGAAGATGTCGGATGGACTGGAAGAGCAGCAGCAGGCTCTGTCACTTCTGCTTGTGAAATTCTTTATCATCCTTTGCAGGTACATGTTCTGATGGCTACCTCTGCAAGGCTGTTGTTTTGGTTAAGAAATCTTCATGCAGCCTATAGAGATTCTAATGATACATACAGTGTGATTTGACACTTTCAAGCTGGAACAGAGAAATGCCACTTCTCACAATCTTCAAAATAAAGGAAGAGGGAATAAAAGAGAGAGAAGAGAACAATCCAGTCACCTTAGCAATAATGTTTCTCATGAGAAGTGGAGTAGAAGGAGATTAGACACTAAATTCCATGCAATTTCATAAGGTGTATCTATGGGAATTCAAGATATGGTGTACCTGGTGTAAGGAATACTCCTGAAAGAAAAGGCACATTCTAACAAGTGTTGTATATGAGAGAACTCAAGGGAGAATTGTACAGGAAGAACTGTTTCACATTCTTAGCATACTAAAAATTCCATAAACAGCTTTGGAAGCTGACTTATTACACAATTAATGCAACTGGCTTCCTTCTCAAACACACACCATATTTTTTAATTCTGCTGAAGCAGGTGAGTAAACTGTTTTTAGGGATCTGTTCTCAGAATTTCTGTAGTCTTCTATTATAAACTACATCAAGAGAGGAAGGAGATAAAATATAATAGGGAGCTCTTTTAAGGAGTATTTTTGACTTCTTTGGCTCTCCTTACCCCTGAAACAATACAAAGGGCTGTTGGGAAGTGTTTAAGTATCCTGGAATATTAAATATATTAAATACAAGATGCTGGTAATGTGTTTCTGATTTGCCAACTGTTGTCAGTCTTACAATGGCTGAAAAGTTCTCCTTACATCATTGCTTCAGTATGTGATCTTGGTGACTTGTCCTCAAGACTGAGAAATAATGTGCATGCTGTTCCTTTGTTGCTGTTGATTTATTTATGTTCTAAAATAATTTATTAGATGTTTGTTTGCCTTGGGAGAATTTAAAGTGAATAAATCCATCTAGGCAAGATGTTTGCTAAAGTTTTAAAGTGTGCATGTGCTTTCTAAAACTTAGTAGTGTGGGAGAAGTGGAAATTACTGTCTGTTATCAGATGCCATTTCTGAGCTTTCTATTTAGAGTGTCCTGGGAATCTGCTTAACCTCTGAAACCCCAAATCCCAGATAGCTGCCCTACAGCAGAGTGACTCAGGCCTCTCTTTTCCTTCCTGTTAAAAGAAAACTTGTGACCTCTGTTACTGTGACAGAAGTAAACATTTGAGCATGTGCAGTCTTTTGGAGACTATTTTTGAAATGCAGATAGGCTTTTGTATGACCAGAATGCTCAAACATTGTTTGAACTACACTCAAATGGTGCACTCTACATTTTTTTTTTGGTGTTGTCTTCATAGAAATTTGGCTAACGTGGAGGAGATTGGGATGTGTTCCTACATTAACCATGTCATCACCATGACTACGTTATACATTCAACAGGTATGTGGTTAACCCTTCTCACCTCTTAATTTTGGCTGATACTTCCTGCTCCTGCTTTTGGGATCTGCTTGTTCAGGAGCAGTGTTGTGCGGGGAAGGGCTTGAGGGCTCAGAATTATGCTGATGAATAGTTGATGAATTTTCAACTTCTAGATGTCTTCTGACCACATCTTTTTTTTTTCTCCTCAGTTAAAAAGCAAAACAAAAGAGAAAGAAGTGGCAGATCAGACCCCTATAGAAGAATTTGTGAGGCATGCCTTGGCTTTTTGTGAGAGTCTCTACGACCCCTATCGGAACTGGAGGCAGCGAATTGCAGGGTACGTGTGGACTGAGGCAGGGCTATAAATACTAGATTTTGTGACAATTCTGGATTAAAAACATATAAACTTTATGACAGAATGACTGCTGACTGATGTACAATTATATTAAAAAGTAGTTACACATATATTCTTCTCCTTTTGCATGTAAAACTGTTAGAATTGATAGCCTTGAGCGCTTGATACTGTGTTTTAGGGTGTTCTACACAAAGATACACTCTTTAGAACAGCATTAATGAAGTAGTTTTTCTACCAAAATGAACATCATGAAGCAGGCATGCTTGAAAGTTAACTTTGATGCCACTAAAGTTGTCAAAGTACTAATATATCCTGTTTCACATAGTGGAAAGCTGAGTTGTGAGGCTTTTTCAAAGGTGGGAAGTGTGTCGAGACAGGAAATGAGCTTTCTGAGATGTTTAATCTGTCAGTCTAGACACAGGCCCTCTTCTTTGAAACTGCTAGTGATTCACTTTAGCTGCTGTAACTGGCTCTTCAGAGACCCCTTATAAATTTTTTGTGAGATCTTTTTCATGTACAGTTCTCCCTCATTAGCCCCAGATTAATTACAACAAAGTTAAACACAGTTTTGTATCATTAACATGTTTTTCTGCTGTGTGTGCAAGGGCTGAAGTTGTTTGCTCTTTGTTGCAGTCATTCAGAGCTGCTTTTCCTTTAGGTCTCCAGTTTTATTTCAACCAGGACCACTCTGACATGCATCAAATCCTGGACCTGTGCATACAAATAACTAAAGGCACAGAGAGATCTTATCTTACATTACCTAGTCTTGTAAAACCTCAGGTCCATTCTCACAGCATATAGTCTGTGGCTTGTATTTGTGCAGCAAGTCACTTGTCCAACTCCATTCCCAGAGGGGATCATCTGAGCTGTGTACCTTGGCTCCTGGTTTTTTGTTTTATTTTTTATCTTGAAGCTTCCAGTGTGCCACAGTATTGCATGGGCTGCATGTTTCATGAGGCTGTTATGGAAGCAAAAGGCAGTGTTCTTAATCATAGCTTGGATCATTGTGCACAGAGGTTTAAGGAGTGTGTGAGGACTTCTGGTATTTTTGTGCAACATGAGAAATTCCCTTTTCTAGGACAGAGCATGAATTGACAGCAGGTCTCATGTATGGCCTGCCAGTGTACTGCTAAGTTGTTCTCTGATGTAGTGTAGGTAATGCAAGTACATCTCATGGGATCTTAAGAGTATAAACACTCTAAATAGGTGAATTTACAGCCAGTGAGGTGCAGAATTTGACACTAAATCAAAATAATCACACTACAGTAAAGTGCTGTGCTTTCTGAAACTGGATATCATTTAAATACCTTTTTAAAATTATATTTACTGGCAGAACAGAAGTTGAAATTCAATTTGAGAGTGTTCTAAGAGTCATTTGGTTCTAACTGACCAACTTAAAGGTCCATCTGTTGCTTTCTCCTTTCAAAAACTGACCCAGTTTTCTCAACTGCTGGAACAAGGAAGCCAGAAGGAATGGGGTAGACAAACCTTGTTGAATTAAGGCAGAAGGAGTTATTGAAGACCACAGTATAGATATGTTGCATCTTTAAAAAGAAGTTTATAAGTATATCAGTAGAATTCTATCCCTTAATTTTAGGCCCACTCTCCCTTGCCTCAACAAACCTGTAACAGATTTTTGTGCTAGTTTCAAATTGCATGAGTAAGAAATTTGGCAGTGTAGTAGATGGCTTAGTTAAAATAAGCAGGGACTAAATAACAGATTACTGGGTTTTGGTGTGTTTTTTTTTTAAAAATATTAAACAATAAATAGGGGGTTAGCTGTGATTCAGGATGGAATTCCACTTTATTTAGATTTATTTATCCTGATCTTTGGCAGTGTTTTCCAGTTCGAATTCATAAATGAGTAAATCATAAACAGAGGTATCATACCTAATTTCTTTGGTATATTTTCTTTGATGTCATGGCAGACGTTTCCTCAGCACAGTGGAAAAGAGCAGACAGAAGTACAAACCAGCTTCCCTCACTGTGGAGTTTGTACCTTTCTTCTACCGTGAGTATTACTAACAGCATGTTTGCAACATGGATTCTGTGAAGGGCCAACTTTCCCTTTTATTAGGGTCCACACAGTGATTGCACCTAAGATCTCTTCAGCAACTGTAATGATAACTTGCATGGAAAAATAATCCTAGGATTATTCATGCATTTTTGTGTCTTAATATGATTTCACAGCTAGAAAGAAGGGAGCTGTGCCATCCAACCAGCAAATGCTCCTTGGAGTGGAGTTTGGGAAACTGCTCTGTTTTGTCTCTGGCTAAGCCACTAAATATTTTGATGGCTGCTTTGCAGTTTTTGTGTTCTCACCATTACAGATTTGCTGTGTGGAAAAGGAGGCCTCACGTGGCCATATTCTGTACTTAAATCTTGGGAAGTTAGGGTGCTCAGCTAGTTTGCCAGTTTAGCACATCTGAGTGCTAGTGCCAACAGTGCTGAAGTGGCTGGAGGGGTGGGGATATGAGTGATCAGCCCTTTTTGCAGCTATCCATTTACTCAGCTTTAATTAAAAATAATAAGGAAGCCTCTGTTCCTAGAGTGGTAGCATTTTAGTAATTTGTTTTCTTAGGTTTCAGTCACAATGTATGTGAAACTGTAAAACAGCAAGAAATTGCTGAGCATGTGCTTTAGATGTTCTGCCATGGCAGCACTAATCTAAAGCTTTTCTTGGTCTGCTCCATCTGGTAATTCATTCACAACCTGCTAGGTACTGTTCTTTGTACTTTTTGAAGTTCCCCAAAAGATCCTGAAGCTGTAAATCAAGGGAATGGTGGGACTAGCAGACTAACAGCATGATCATGTCAGCTTTGTTTCCTTTGAAGACTAGATTTAAAAAATGGCTGTCCAATTTTCTTTTAAAACAGGCCTACATATTCAGTATATAGTCAGATTTGCCTGTAATTGGTAATTGTCTTACAGCTTATTAATATTTTAATGAATATTCTTGAATTTTCAAGTTTCTGTTGGTTGTTTAAAATCTCAGTTTTTACAAACCCAAGCTGTCATCTATCTCATAAAGTTATTGGAAGTTTTATGATGGTCAATTCTAAATGAAAATAACCCTTTGCAGCTTGTTGCTGCTACTCCAAGTCTGGTGTTATTGCTACAGCAATAATGTACAGTTTGTATCTCAGGCTAAGAAGAGAT